TGCAGCCGTTGCAAAATGAAAATGTTTGCGTGAATTGGTTAGATATGGCATGTCAAGAATTTAAGAATTTGATTGTTATTTGGTTAAGGAGCGGGTGGTATACGAGAGTGTGTCGATATTATTCGAAATGGGAATTGAATATGTACACACAATGGCATTAACCATTCTCTTTCCCGCGCGTGTGATGTTCGCTTCAAAATCTCTCGGCTCCATTCGGCGCGGCTGAAGTGAAATCTGTGCGTATGTATGCATACGAAACAGTCGTCGTCACGCTGATATTTATTATAAATTTACATTTTACTCTTTTCATTTTTGTTGTTTATTTATTTTTATTTCCATTCTTCTTATTTTGATGCGGTGCAAACACACACATATTTCCCTTAACAAGCATTTTCGTGGTTGGCGTCGTTTTTTACCAGGTTCATTTTTTATTCGGCTTCTTTTTTCTCGTTATTGTCATTTGTGCGGAGCAAAGTAGAAAAAACACACGCTGCTGCGGTAAGAAAGCAATGAGCTTGTGTTTGTGCGTTTGTGTGGCGAAATTTTGTCTCGGGTTTTTAGTTGCTTCGCAGTAATATTTAAATAACAAATAAACAGGCGCAACGCGCGCACACACACCGCACCCTGAAGAATATTAATTGTACGGTTGAATGGTACATAATTATTATTGCTGTTTGCTCTGTTCTCATTGAGTGAACGCGAATTTCGGGATGATTTCAGTTGCTAAATGCATTCACCAGTTTTTTTTTAATCAACGGTTTCTTCGTCGGCTGTGCAAACATCGGCTACGTCGTTGCATGTGTTTGAACAGTGAAAGAATTGTTTTTTCTTTGTTATAATGAGGCAGGATCAAACAAGCAGAAAAATTCGATGAATCCAGAATTTCGACGGAGAAGAAAAAATCAAACAGACATCTCGAAGGGAGAAAAAAAAACACATTCGGGTTTTTGGTTCATCCGGATCGTCCAGAGAATGGAATTAAACAGCTCAAGTGTCTTCTTTTTTTATTGTCACTCAACGAAATGTGACAGCCACACACACACACCTTGAAAATTCCCGAATCAAAATTATTGCTCTCACACTTGAGTCAATCACATAAAATCGACAAGTCTGCCATTTGTGACTTTTGAAGCGAATAAAAGTATCCGGTCGTTCATTTTTTCGTGTTCTTCTTCAGCTGTTGCTGTCATCGTCGGCGGGTCAAGAGGGAGAAAGAAAACCAAAACCAATAAATTTCCTTGCCAAAAAACGAACAGTAGTCAAGTGGCAAAGCATGGTGGAATTGGAATATCTAGAGCTCTTCAGACTACAATTCAAATTCACTGCCAAGCGATTACAACGGCCAAAAACAAAGCAATAAGACGCGGGTTAAGTATAACAGAGAAAGAAAAGTATAAGAACACAAAATAAACAATGCCAAATGAATTTAAAAAGGAGGAGAAAAAAAACCATTCTTCAGACTCATTTTTTGGACAGCGGTGTCGATTCGAATAAACAGTTCGTGTGGTTTTTTCTCTCTGTCTCTCTTTGTGTGTGTGTGTTGTTGTCGTGAAAGGAAATTAAAAATATAAGACAGTGGAAAACCCGATGCCACAAAGAAAATGAAATTATTATTTGGACGCGGTCGGCGGAGTAAAGATGAGCACCCGACAGGTGAATCACAATTTTCTGCTTTGAAATGAGCGTATATCGTTGATTATTCAGTGCATGAATCCGAACGATGCGATTCAGCATTTCAATGGCCGACGTCGTCGTCGTCACCACCACCGCTTTTTAATTAATTATTTAAATAGGTGATAATGCAATTATAAGCAGCACCAGAAAAAATATTTATTCTATTATTACCGAATATAAACCGACTTCGTCGGATGCGTCGCATTATTTTTGCTGATTTTCGGAAAATTTTCACAATACCTTTTTTCCACCCCGATTTCTCTCTCTTTTTATCTCTATCTCCTTCTCCCTACTTTTGTTTGTGAATACAAAATTTATCAAAATTACGCGTCACACACGCAACATATTTGTGCACGGAACATGTTTACATTCTGTACCTATTCTGCAGAGCCACCACCTTCCCGCCACACAAACGATCTCTTCGTCGAATCAGAAAAACACCAGTCTCTGTCGAAATGTTATACTTTATTACGACTGAATATAATTAACAATAAATTCATTAGACTCGCTTTCTGTTTGCTAATATCGTTGCAATTTGTCGGCAGCCCAACCAACACACACAAAAGCTCACATGACCAATACAGTATCATTGCGACGCGCGTCTGCAGATTAAAACAAACTTTGTACTCTCTCAAATTAACATTATTATCCGACTTTGGATCAATGCAAACCACTTGCAGTCGGCTGTGCCAGCATCATACAGAATATAGACAATCATTCATTTCTTATCTGCGTCAATTTCAAATCCAACGCAAAATGCTTTGAAATCAAAGCTTTTAGCCATTCTAATTCCATATTCATACTGAAACGAATCAGCTTTAACTCAAAAGGCCAACAATGCTTAATTTTCTGGAGCAAAGCAAAGGAATACTTAATCTAAATCAAAAATTCAATCTCAAGCGAGTGGCAATTTTGCAAACGGTCTATAATTGGATTCGTCTTCTCCGGCAGATTTACAACTTTCATTCAGCTGAAATGACTTTTTCTCCAGCACATTTTTGAGCAACAAATGAACGATACAAATTCGTTTTTTGGTTCAATTTTAGTTAGGAAGATATTTTCTGAGTGTGTTTGTTATCTTATCGAAATCAGTTCAAATGTTTCAAATTATTCTTGAATTTATATTTGATTTTCTTGAATCAAATAAATTTATATATTTCTTCCGGTTAAAAAAAAATAGTCCAAAAGAAAATTATTTTTCCAAGATTTTTCGCCAAAAATGATGAATTCACAAAAATTGTTCACAGAATTTAGGTAACAACAATGCAAAAATAAAAGCTTCCATCCTCAAAAAGTGATGAGCTAGTTTGTAAATGAAAGGTGATCATGGTATGAATTTTATGTTTGTGAGAACAGCGTAATATTCATGTGTGTCGGCTGTTGTTTGCTCAGTTGAGAAGCGAATCGGCACTGGGCTCGAGCCCGGTTGGCAGTGTGACTGAGTGTGACGTTGGCTATAAAAATTAATGTGCATAATTGTGAGTGTGACAAGAAAAAAGGCAGCACTAGCGAGAAAAAAGAAAAAAAAATGTGTGGACATAAAAAAGCGGCAGCAACAACAGCAGCGGCCGATTGTTGAACAGCAAACAGCGCAATGATACGGAAATTTCGAGACAATGCGTACAACGAGAGCATAAATATGATTTTGTTTGTGAGGCATCGTAGCTCATGGTGTAGCAACGGGTCGTTTACCGGTTCATATTATGAGCGTTTACATTACGGGAGACCTGCAGCTATTCACAAACATGCACACAATAATACTTGAAATGTTTCCTCTCTCTCTCTCTCTCTCTCTCTCTCTCTCTCGTTCTCGTTTGGCACATTTTCACAATTTCGTAGGAGCTCAAACAACTAGATTATAAGGTGTACGTGCTGGGTGCCCTGGCGATCGAGTACTGACACACACAGAAAAAAAAACAAGTGTAAGCATACCGCATTTGTATAATGTGTTAACACCCCGTTTTTTTTCGCTCTCTCCACATCTTTGTGCTCCGCTCATTTGGCAACAGAGGAAGAAAAAAGTGTGTACATTTTTATTGTGTGTGATTTTTTTTTTCGGTAACAGGTTCCTTGTCGCTTGTTGACAATCTTTCGCCACTTGTCGAGAGCATTTTCTAATTTTTTTTTTGTCGTTCGTTCATTTCATCCCAATTTTTCCGGTGCGCTACGGCATCATTGTCCATTTACAGCAATGCTCAATGTTCCGAATAAGTGTGACAATTGAAATGTACGGCCGTTACGTGTATTTTGGCCCACTGCTACTGCTTGGTGCTATTGCTGCAGTGTCACACCGGAGCCAAAATAGACATGTTGAAACGTGGTTGTCGCGCGCGTTGACATTTAATTTTACGACATTCAACATTTTGATACACTCCGAATTATTTCACGTGGCACTCATAAAAAGACGAACTCACACAATCATTACATATACACGGACGAGAGAAAAAATCAGCCTGCATCTTAAAATTAGGTTCACCAATAAACCAGACCGACAACGACGATGATGGCGGTGTGGGAGATGCTCATGTGCGCGCTCACCCGAAAATCGCCTTTTATTTGGCAATTAGGTAAATGAGGAAATATAAAAGTCGATGGCAATTCTTTTCGACGACACTGCGTGCCGAGTTAGTTGTGTGTTGCTAGTTATTAGATTGTTAATTGCATTTTCACTTTTCATAAATTCCAACTACTTATATAGTCCCAGTGGCCGATACTCGTTGTTTCAGTCTTTGAATTCCATTCCCATCACCGATGCGGCCCGCTTTGGAATTGACCCAAGCAAAGTTTCAGTGGACAACAAGAGACGAGAAAAGACAGTGTCTCAGAGCCATTTGTGTGCAGACTCACAAAATGCACCGCACATAATGTTCCATTTGAGTTAATCTCCGTGCAAATGAGCACACACTCCTTAGCTAATTTGGTCAATTAAGGCGACAGACACTTGGGTTGATAGTGGCCAAAATAAGGATTGCAAACGAAATGGAAATGGCCATTGAAATTAAGTAGCGAGAAAAATGGATGAAATTCAAATGAAAAATCGATGCCAAAAACTAAATGTACCATAAAAAAACCGATCAAAGAATGACCATTGAATGGGAAAAGTTTTGTGGAATTGTTGATCAAGTCGATCGGTAGATAAGAAATGTATTTTTTGGCAAAAATGCCTTAAAATCAGTGTTTCATTTGTTCAACTTCTGGGCTCAATTTAAATTGAAAGTACTTGTTGTGCAGCTCGAAAAGGAATTTATTGTAATTCACCAATTCGTACCGACACACCAAATTGTGTATCAAATGGAAATAATGTTTCGTAAAATTGTGTTTCTTACCTTGGCTCATTAAACATGCAACATCGACTCCATCCAATTCGACCGAAATCTCAGCATGTTCAATTATCCCAGTGTGGAATTGTTGCGGCTTCTTTGGCAAATCCCTGCAAATATGAAAAATAAAATTGTAATTAAAGATGGAATGGATTAAATTACGGAGCGTTTAGCCCAAAATAATAATAAAATGAAAAATGGTGCAAGCGCTGTGGCTATTTTTGGGGAATGTACAAATTTTTCGCATTGGTGATAAATGTAATTAACCGTATAAATACGATTCCCATTGGCAGAAGAAAGGATGGCAAATTCTTTGGTCGTCAAAAGACTTAACTGTATACAAATGGGCACAACAAGAGAAATAACAACAACAATAAAATGCCGTCCGCAACTATAACGATAAAATAGATAGACGCCGAAACGCGTATTTTATTGTGGCAAAGCGTTGTGTAAACAAGCGTTCGGAGTTAACTGATGTTCTTCGGAAAAATGTGGAGGTGGAGAGGGGGAAGAGGCTGAGAGAAGGAGAGGACGAAAATGAGAACAAGAGCCAGAGTCAGGTTTACGGAAAGAGAGCTAGAATGAGAGTCAGATTCGTAGAAAGGAAGAAAGTGGATGTGAGATAAATGCGGCTCGGTGTTCATGTTCATTTGTGCCGTTGAATGGCACTGGTTGACTTTTACCTTAATTGTTATCAATTATCACTAATAAGCAATCTAGTGATACAGCAAAGCCTCCCTTGTTCGTATCATTTTTCATGCAATGTAGAGACGAGAGCGAGAGTGGAATGAGATTCATGATGCGGCATCGCATTCAGTCAAAGTTAAATAAGAAAACAATGCGTGCGGGGTTGAATGTTTGAAGAAAAGATGAAAGATGTTTCCAACTTAAGACAAGTTAAGTAGTATGTCATTTTCGGCTGCACACAAACAATAAAACCCAAAAGCAAAAGTCTTGTTCGTCTTCCGACCGCATCGCTAAAGTTTGCTGAAGTAACACGACCAAAGCAGATATGAAATATGGAATATTGTGTTGGTGGCGTGCGAGCTAGCAAGCCGGCGAATGAATGAGCACAAGATGTGATGGGAGCAGAATATTGCAACAGCAGACAGGTACACGTTAATCACGTTGTAAATAGAAATTTGATTGTTAAGGCGCACGAGAGGAGCTTCCCAGTTGATAACAATAACAACATCACCAACTGAAACAGATACACCCAGCAGTAGCAGCATCACCGCACGCAATAACGAACAGAAGGCGCCTTAAGCCAGTGGATTGTAAGCCAAGCGATTATTGGTTAATTAGCTCAACGAAACGGTGGATTACAAACCAACCGAAATCACTTTTCCATAAATATGCCAACGAGTAGTCTCTCTCCCTCGCGCGCTCTAATAAATAATCACACAATCAGTTGTCGTGAGAGATGTTTGACTTGGTAAAAGGAATTATCGAGAGTCTCTAGATTTGAGATTTGGAACACAGTCTGCAAATTCATACTAAAGGTGGTTTCAATGCAATGCAATGCAAAAGATGATTTCTCAACCGAATCGTTGTGGTCAAATAACAATTACAATCTGCGGGCACGCGGCATCAACATGTTGAATGTAAAATTGCAGATTAACATTAACTTTTCTATGATGACCATTCGATTCTGCATTACACATCAAGTAAAGAGACCAAAAAAACACAATTTAAACACGAACCCAGAAATGCTGAATCAATTGATTAAAGGAGCCCAAACCCTGTTGACCACAAACATCTTCTGGACCGACACAGATTTACCATTTGCCGAAAATGGAATTCATTCAACCCTCAACCCGCTCCTCATATCACAAACCCTTTCATTGTTCCGCACAAGACGCTCCATTGCTGGTTAACATATTATAATTTCAACTCTTTGTATGCCAATTATTATTTGTGGACTTTGGAGGGGTGCTCGAAAATAATAACGAACAGAAAAAAGAGAGAAAAAATTTGTCGACGACGGCGATTTTAGCCATTTTCTCATTATAATTTTATAATGTAAATGTTGCCATTGTTGTAATGAGAGTCACACACACAATGTTAAAGAGTTGAACGAGAGAGAGAGAGAGAGAGAGAGAGAGAAATTATACAGCCGATGCAAAGAAGATGGCAACAGCAGTGGGATGAGTGACCGAAAATTATAGCGTCGTACCAAAAATCACGATATACACAGCAGAAAAGAAGCGAGAAAAAAATGAAAACAAAGCCGAATTATTCCACATAATTTTCGCCTTATAAAACGTGACAAACTTACAATGAGACCGTTGCCTTGTTTTTTTTTTAATATATTATATACGGAACGCGTTTTTTTTCAACGTCACGGATTCTTTTTTTTCGGGTGGCGCGTTGTTTTCTTTTTCACTTTACATTCGCCTTGTGTTCCTCTCATGACATAGGATGCTTTATCTGCCAACCGTCGAATCAATGAATATAATCGTGTGTAATTTTTGTCTACGCTGCGCCCGCAATTATTCTCATTTTTTTTGGCACCAGCCACTTTTTTTTGGCTATAAACGCCGTTTGGTGAGGCATTTTTTTTCATCATTTCTCTGGCGGTGGCAGGAGACAACAACATTATTTTCTGCGTCAACGAGAGGAAAAAAAACATTTTCATATGAATTTTATCACTTCGTTTTATTCGCATTAATGGCTGCGAAGCAGATTTTTGGTGGCAGATTACGCGAAATTGGCACCAAATGCACTGGTTGCATTGATTTTAGAGGAGTTTTTTTTTAGAAATTTGAAGAAATTTTGTCGGCTTTTCTAAAATTTTCTTTTGTACCTACCTTAAAGGTACTACTACCTCTTGTTAAAATCTGACTTTGTACCTTCAGTTCGAGTTTGAGTTAATATTAACACCTTTTTAGTGCAATCGATCCGAAAGGTTCATTCGTAACTTGCAAATCGTGAATTTATCTCCTACCTAATAGGAAGACCTATGCTACAAATTCTTCATCGTTCCACATTCACTGTTTCCCACTTCAATAAAATTGTGGACTTCTCTTAGTTTGCTGTATATATTTCACTTCAAAACCACTCTAAACATTTCATTCGTTGAGCCAAAGAGGAATCTACCGGTTTATCGAATACAACAGAGCATTGTAAATTGATTTGACGTCAAATCCGAACTCGATCGAATGACGACATTTGGAATCACGTTTCCATGCCACATTTTCGCTGTGTGGTATAGTCATCATTGTGGCTTTCGAGTGGTTGTGTACCATTTTAAGTACGTATTAATGTTGTTTACTTTTGTTTTTCGATTCTCTTCTCGTAATGATTATTTACCGATAAATATAATATTGATTAGTCCAAATTGCGGCAATAATAGGCAGTTTTAGGGGGGTTGAATTGTCTCTCTTTCTCTTGGTGTGTGTATTTTTGGCAATTCCACAGAAAGCGTGTGTCCACAAGGATTGAGCAAAATGCAGAAGACGTAGAAAAAAAAATGTTAGCTTCATCTCTATCTCCATTCGATCGAGTGAGAGCGAAACAAAAGAGAGCTGAAGAATTCAGCAGATGAAGAGACAAAAAAAAACATCTCGTCATTTTGTGCGGGTGAAATTGTTGACTATTGCCGAAAGATGGAAAAAAGCGAATGAAAACGCAAAACACAATAGAGTCTGTATGCACACGAACGTTCTCTCTTTTTTTGGGAAGTTTTCTTTTTCTTAAATGCCGGCTGACACAAAATGGATTTTTTTTCCTCTTCTCTATCCCTGCAGAGAGCAATTGGATGGTAGAGGGAGAGGCAGCGATGGTGGTCTCGTCTTTCGAAAATAAATCATTGAGTGATTTTTACAAATGGAAACTTTTAGACACTGTGTAAATAATTCTTGAATTGCGAACGAGAGCGGCATTTTGATATTGGTGAATAAATTGCGAGACAATGTACCGTAAGAAGGAAGAAGTATAGAAAAAAAAATAATGTTGAATTGTTTTCTTTTCGAATTCGGATTTTTTCCCTTCTTCTCTCCACTGCTCAGCATTTCTTCGTTCATAGCTGCTGTCACTGTGCATTTCGATGATCTTCTTCTTTTTCGGTTGGTCTATTAATTCATTGTGGCTGTGTCTTGTTTTATTTTGCATGTCATTTGAAACACAATTTTTCTTCTTCTGCTCTTTCATTGTCGCCCTCGTCGTTGGCTCGTGAGCGTCTCGTTTGTATCCGTTATTTTAATTAATGTTTGGATTTGGATAAGCCATGAGCGCGTGAAAATCGCTCATCTAAATTTTATTCGTCATTTGTTGGTCGACGTTGCCACAATTGAAATTTTCACATTGCCTGATTTTCAATGGCCAACAATCCAATCCGCATACTGGATCAAATTTTCCGAAAGAATTTTCGTTTAATTTCTTCGGCCGTGTGCATGCAATTTGTACATCGCAAAGAATGAACGTATTTTTTGCTTACTCTCTCACTCTCTCTCCAGTGTCATTATGAATTGCGGCATTTGGTGAATGTGTTGTGTGTCAAATGTCTCGATGTTTTACATGCAAAAAGTCGCGCGGAGAATCGAGCTGACGAGCGAAAATACGAGAGCGGCTCATTTTAAACGGATGAGGGAGTAAAATTACAACATCAACCGATGTGCAGAAGTAAAGCAACAAAGAAGAGAAAAAAGCGCCCGGCAAAAATCAAGGCGATTGAGTAGCTATTTATATAAACAGGGGATTTCATTCTTAAAGACTCGCGTCAAGATAACACATCGGATGATGATGCTTGATGCCAGCCGCACAAATTCCTGGCATTCACACTCACACTTCGACAAATTCGTTCGCTTTGAAAATTTGATCGCTAATTTTTTTTTTCGCCCGCTCGCTGACTTTGTTTTATATTCAAATTCTTTTTTCGCATCGTTTTCGCAGTGTGTAATGGAGAGCAACAGCGAAAAAGAGCAACACCAACCATTTGCGGTATCATTGAAGTACATTTAGATCAATTGATAAAGCAATTTACCGTAATTATTTACATCCTATGATCTGTTTAAGGCATTATTGGCCTAAAAGGAAAACAGCACAATTTTAAGCATTGCAAAAAGAGTGCGCAAAACAAAAGCGATCGATTGCAAAAATTGACGGATTT